CGGTCAATCGCTAACAAGTATCCTCTTACTGGCCAGAAATATGATCTTGCGATGCACTTTGGGTGCATAAACCTTATTAATTTTTGCATTTCTTTGATCATTGTCAACTTCTTCAATCAAATCAAGCCATTTTTCATCATCTTACAAGCATACAATAAAAGAGTTCACTGAAAGTACAATTGGTTCACGAGCAGGGGTAGATAAGAAATAAATTGTATTGCATACTTTTGATCCATTGATATTCTTTTTGTGTATGTACTATTAATAAATATGTAATTTTTAAACTTTTAAAACAAATTTTAAATATGCACTATCAATAAAGAAGGATCGAATCAAACATTAAAGTATTTGGCAGTCTCATTTCTCAATGAATGTATTTTATTCTTAACAAACACCCAAAACGTACTATTAAAGTTATTTAGAAAATACGACAACTTTAAAGGGCTCTACTTTTTAAAGCAGGCAACTAACCATCACCAAATTTTGCTTAAAAGTAGAATAGCATGTGGATATGATGTGGAATAAAAATTACTGTTGTGTCTGTATGGCTTCCATAAAAATTTTTCCAATAAAGATGACGTATATTTCGTGTCTTCAGAAACACATAATTAGACTTTTTGCTGTGCCATAACACATTACTGGTTGCAGATACAAAGATGAAAGTGCAATATTTGAAATCTCCGCATACAAATACATCTTTGTGCAAATTTTGATCGATATACCATGTACGGGTATGAAGTTACAGGTCAAAATGTAAAATAGGGTAATGGTGAATTTAGCATTGGCCACGCCCACTTTTTTGCTTTTCGGGCCATATTTCGAATTGCGATATCTCAAAAACTATTGCAGCTACGATGCTCGAATTTTGAACTTAAACTATTCCCACACAATGTTAACTGCCTGCGAAATATAAAGAAATTTGGAGAGGGTGGGTGTCAAATCAGTTTTTTTTGTGTTGAAATGGCATGGAATTACTCTAATACAGACACCTCTCTAATACAGATACCTCTCTCTAATACAGACACCTCTCTAATACTGGCACCTCTCTAATACAGACACCTCTCTAATACTGGCACCTCTCTAATACTGGCACCTCTCTAATTCAGACACCTTTCTCTAATACAGACACCTCTCTAATACTGACAACTCTCTCTAATACAGACACCTCTCTAATACAGATACCTCTCTCTAATACAGACACCTCTCTAATACAGATACCTCTCTCTAATACAGACACCTCTCTAATACTGACAACTCTCTCTAATACAGACACCTCTCTAATACAGATACCTCTCTCTAATACAGACACCTCTCTAATACAGACACCTTTCTCTAATACAGACACCTCTCTAATACTGACAACTCTCTCTAATACAGACACCTCTCTAATACAGATACCTCTCTCTAATACAGACACCTCTCTAATACAGATACCTCTCTCTAATACAGACACCTCTCTAATACTGACAACTCTCTCTAATACAGACACCTCTCTAATACAGATACCTCTCTCTAATACAGACACCTCTCTAATACAGACACCTTTCTCTAATACAGACACCTCTCTAATACTGACAACTCTCTCTAATACAGACACCTCTCTAATACAGATACCTCTCTCTAATACAGACACCTCTCTAATACAGATACCTCTCTCTAATACAGACACCTCTCTAATACAGATACCTCTCTAATACAGACACCTCTCTAATACAGACACCTCTCTAATACAGATACCTCTCTAATACAGACACCTCTCTAATACAGATACCTCTCTAATACAGACACCTCTCTAATACAGATACCTCTCTAATACAGACACCTCTCTAATACAGATACCTCTCTAATACAGATACCTCTCTAATACAGACACCTCTCTAATACAGACACCTCTCTAATACAGACACCTCTCTCTAATACAGATACCTCTCTAATACTGGCACCTCTCTAATACTGGCACCTCTCTAATACTGGCACCTCTCTAATACTGGCACCTCTCTAATACAGACAACTCTCTCTAATACAGACACCTCTCTAATACAGATACCTCTCTCTAACACAGACACCTCTCTAATACTGGCACCTCTCTAATACAGACACCTTTCTCTAATACAGACACCTCTCTAATACAGACACCTCTCTAATACAGACACCTCTCTAATACAGACACCTCTCTAATACAGACACCTTTCTCATACAGACACCTCTCTCATACAGACACCTCTCTAATACAGACACCTCTCTAATACAGACACCTCTCTAATACAGACACCTCTCTAATACTGACACCCAGATTAATCTGAGGAAGATTATATTGATTGATTAATTAATGTCATGTGCACAGCAGCTTATAGTTGATTACTGCATGCAATGGGCCCCCATGCTTGAGATATATCATAACAGATCTATTTGCTTTTAAAGACTCACCTCATTGTTTATAAAATGATTGTAAGAATCGATATGTTGCTTCACAAGTCCCTTGCACTAAAATGCAAAACATATATGTGAAACTGACGTACGTTTAATCAATGTTGACATATGAATTCGTATACTAGTTTTCGTATAAAATTCCTGTATAAAAATGCGTTTGAAATGCTGGATATAAACGATATAAACATAGATGGCGGTGCTGCATTTGAGCAATGAACTCAATGTTTCTAGATAATGTTTCATGTTTGATTGTTATAAATACCAGTATATGGATATTTCAGGATCAGGGTTAGCGGCAAATGTTTGTGACGGTTCAGCTCTGCTGTAGGAAGTGTAAGCCATCGTATTTGTCTGAAATTCTTGGTGTACGCCAAGCCACAGCACTTTCGGTATATGTGGTACAATCATACATCCGTACCAGTGGCGTAACAGAGGAAAAGGGGCCCTTAGGCATATCTGGTTTGGGGGGTGCGCCGTGCCCTGTTTACTGTTGTCATTGTTTGACTGAGATATTATATTTATATTGAATATTTGTAGAATGTTCTGGAAAATTCCATGTCTATACTGTATAACACTAAGTTTTACTCTGTCTAACGCCAATAATTTTGGTGCTCAATGGGTTAAATGAGCTCAGATATACTTAAAACAGCTAAGGCCAAAAAAAAAATATGTGGGTTTCCGGTTTCCTGACCCTACCTAGCTTTTGGACGTCGAAATCCCGACCCTAAACTTTTTTATTGGATCATGCTTGTAAGTGTTTCCACTTAGAGGAAAAAGTTTGTGGAAAATTGAAATTTGAGGAAATATTAGGGAAATTTATCTTTGGATGTGGAAGCACTGACTAAACAAGATAGCGTCCGCTTATTTGGAAAATTAAAAAAAAGTTTAAAAAAAAAAGTTAAAACCGACCTACCCTACCTAAGTTTTTATAAGAAGAAACCGGAAACCCACATATTTTTTTTTG